GTAGCGTAAATCGGCGAAGCTCCAGGTGCGTATTTTGTAGGTGTTCTGTAGCGTAAATCGGGCCCTGAAAGGTGTTCCCAGATTATCCTGTGAAAATACGTGCATCGCTTTTGCTCACAGATTTGTAATACTTGAACACATTACGCCATTGTGAGTTGAGTGAAAAACACGTCTCTGAGTGTGTAAGTACATGTTAATATTCCTTTACTTGTCAGTCACGCACATTCAATATTCTGCATCCTGTTCTCATGAATTTCGAAATGTGTACAACGTTAATTCAAAAATGACATGTGAGACATGTAATGCCCCATGTGACCTGACTGGCGTATTATTAGAGTATAAGCCTAGCTGTTCGGTCTGCCTCGTGGATCATATTTCGGTGTGTGTGTGTGTGTGTGTGTGTGTGTGTGTGTGTGTGTGTGTGTGTGTGTGTGTGTGTGTGAGAGAGAGAGAAGAGAGAGAGAGAGAGAGAGAGAGAGAGAGAGAGAGAGAGAGAGAGAGAGAGAGAGAGAGAGAGAGAGTGAGTGAGTGAGTGAGTGTATGAGTGTGTGAGTGAGTGAGTGTATGAGTGTGTGTGAGTGAGTGAGTGTATGAGTGTGTGTGTCTGTGTTAGCATGTGCTTGTCTGTTTTATGTGTATTTGTGCATGTACGTATCGATTTATATTTGTGTAACGAAAATGCGAATCAACATTTCCGCGCCTAATGTTCACGTGTCCTCCCGATGTGCACATGGCGGAAAGCACACACACGCCTGTGAAACAACGGTTACATTAACCACGATCCCCGTTACGTGCACAGGATACTGCGTCCGCATGCAGCTATCAGTTTGCAAAATGTGTTTTATTTCTTTCTCCGTATTCATAGACGAGCAAAAGTATCTTGACCGAGATGGCGAGACTCCAGGGGCGCCCGAGACACTCCTCGCCACAGGATCTCACTCAGGACGTCTTTTAATCCTTGATTGACGTCGCTCGTCCGTTTCCGTGCATGGCGATTTCGTTTGAGATTAAACTTCGAATCCCTTTAATGAGCCTCGCCTAACGTTTGGTTCTTTGGTTTGTTTTTGTCGAAATAGCGTATTCATGATTTTTCTAGATTATCTAATTTTGTTGGAAACCCGTTATAACATTTTTCGTTTATTAGAATTTATGTACTAGACGTTTTGCAAAACATTGTCCATGTTCAAAATGAACAGCAACTTCCATGCGTGTATTTTACAGTCAATAAATTGAGATATAAAGTAACTCGAATTTTATCTGGGCTGGCAACACCCTCCCCGCCCCCTTTGAGAGAACCTAAAAGCAAATACAGTCATAAAATCTTTTAAATGTAACATTAAGATTGAGTCCACTGAAATGTAACCGCAAGAATGTAACATCTGGAGCAACAAAGTTTAGCTTCAGGATTACAGCGAGGATAGAGTTACCCCGAAGAGCGAACCCTCGGATGTACGACCTCTTAAAGAGTCATTAAAAGCGTAAATGATTTCGGTTAATGAGTGTTGCTAATACAGCGTGAAAGTCGCGTTTTCGAATTACCGTTACGCCATGAATTAATGAGGCTTAATAAAAAACAACTTTGTAATAACTTTGTCTGGCTGGGTAGCTTGGCTGTTTATATTTTTCTATCATTAAGTCGCCATATGTATCTTCATAGATTGATGTAGGCCTATACACAGACACGCGCGCGCGCGCACACACACACACACACACACACACAACACACACACACACACACACACACACACACACCACACACACACACATATATATATATATATATATATATATATATATATATATATATATATATATTTAAAGGTCCGCTCGCATCCAAATAAGGAAGTGACAGAATTCGACTTTCATATTATTTCGTATTATTCCGTCACATACAGAAGCTGTATCTGCATCTGTTTGTCTCTTATATTTGTCTATATATTAAAGGCATCCAGATATTTATCGCAAAACCAGTTCCCTATTGCAATACTTTTATCATCTCATACCCAATTCAAGGCGGAATTTAGTGCCTGCATTATGTTTTGCATTTTCGAACGATTTTGTGATGGGTATATAATTCTTGGTTTGTCATTAAGGGGCGAGGAGGCTGGCGAGCGATGCCTCTTGGCCTCTTAGCATTGTCTTGAGCCGCAATTTTGTGGCCATTATTGGTGCATTATTTTTATTGGCATTAAGCGTACGTGGCGAGGGAGGGCTGGCCGTGTTGTGCAATTTGTATGTCTGTTTTTAGTTTGTATATATATATATATATATATATATATATATATATATATATAGTTTGTTTAGTTGTTTGTGTTTATATATGTGTGTGTGAGCGCATGTGTATACGTGCGTATGCGTGTAGCCAGAATGTTAGAAGGCAATCAGTCAACATGACAGATGAGGAAAGTGGAAGATGGTAATGAGTTAAGGTCAGGCCGCCTACCCCTCATACCTCATACCTCACCCGTGTCTTTTCCCGCGTTTCCGCCACATTCCGTTTCCTGACTGCCTTCCTACGCACGCTTTATCAGCTGACCTTTTTCTGTCATCGGCACTCCGGTCTTCCTGTGGCACTCCCGTTGGGCGGAGGGAAGCTTGGGCCTCTCCCTGGCTGCGGCGTCTGCGGGAATATGGGCGGCTTCTCCACCCACGACGCGCCGGTTTATCGGAGGGGGTTTTGCGAGTCCTGGGTGTGATGGTTTTGGAGCTTCACAAATCCGTCGCTTCCATCTCTCTCTCTCTCTCTCTCTCTCTCTCTCTCTCTCTCTCTCTCTCTCTCTCTCTCTCTCTCTCTCTCTCTCTCTCTCTCTCTCTCTCGCTTCTTCCCCATCTCTCTCTCCCGCTCTCCTTCCTTTCCTTCTTCCCTCTACCCCTCCCCCCGACCTTTCCCTCTCTCCCTCTCCCTCCCTCACTCACTCCCTCTCTCCCTCCCTCCCCTCTCTCTCTCCTTCCCCTCCCCTCTCCCTCCCTCACTCCACTCTCCCCTTCCCTCCCTCCCTCTCTCTCTCTCTCTCTCCTTCCTTCCCTCTCTCCTCCCCCCCTCTCCTTCTCTGGCGACGTCCTTGTGTGTCAATTTCACCCCCGACTATACAATGATCGAACTGACGGGCACATGGCGTAACGATCGCCATTGTACCTCATCCCAGCCTCATTACCTCTCATTTCCTTCTCGAGTTGTCGCTAAGCTAGTCACCTCCTGTCATTAGCACACCTCCAGCCCTCAACACCCTAGTGCTTATGCTTCCATCACTAAGGCCTCCATCATTCATATGTCCAGTACTCACGCTTTTGACACTAGTACCTCCGTCATTCGCATCTCCAGCAATGATGCCGCCAACACTCACACCTGCACCTCCAACGTTCACCCTCACAACACTTACACTCCCAACACCCACATATCCAACACTCGCGCTCCCAACACCTACACCACCACACCTCCAACACTCGCTCCCCCCAACACCCACACCTCTACACCTCCAACACTAACGCCCCCAACACCCACAACTTCAACACCAACGCCGCATCTCCAACACTCACACCTCCAGCACTCACGCCCCCAACACCCACACCTCCAACACCAACAGGGCATCTCCAACACTCACATCTCCAGCACTCACGCCCCCAACACCCACACATCCAACACCAACACGGCATCTCCAACACTCACATCTCCAGCACTCACGCCCCCAACACCCACACATCCAACACCAACACGGCATCTCCAACACTCACACTTGCCTGAACCCCTGCGACCCCACGGGAGACTAGAGTGCGATGAGTCGAGAGGTCTTCGAGACGGAGGTTGAAGGTGGCTGGACAGTGGTTTCCTCTTATCGTCATTTTCATTATTTTCTTTCTCTTTTTTGTCGTTTGTTGGCCTTATATCCATTCGTTTTTTTCTTACGAACCTATAGAAAAAAGAGACATTTTTTTATAAGCATTCAGTAGGCCTGTGGTAGCGAGTCGGTGATTTTTAAAATATCTTTTCTTTCCTACGAACTTATAGAAAATGTTACCACCTTCATGAACATTCAAATACGCCTGTGGTAGCGAGTCGGTGAAATTTTAAATAAAAATGCTTTTTTCTTTCCTATGATCCTATAGGGAAAAGAATCCCTTTCATAAACATTCGCATAGGTCTGTGATAGCGAGTCGGTGAAATTTTGAATAAAAAATGCCTTTTTCTTCCCTAAGAACCTATTGTAAAAAATAACCCCTCTTATAAGCATTCAAACATAGGCCTATGGCATCGCGTCGGTGAAATTCAAAATGAAAATGGCAAGGGAGTGACGGATCGGCTCCTCAGACGTCCTCCGACTCACATGCACAATCTTTCTCCTTGGCTTCTCGACCATTTACATGCAATAAAGTCTTGATTAGTTTCTTAAGTGTCGGCGTTCGTGGCGCGGATTCAGCTTGCAGAGTTTACGGTTTTAGTTATTGCTGTCTTGAAGATGAGGGAGGGAGGGAGGGAGGGGGAGAAAGGAAGGGGTAAGGAGAGAGGGAGCAAGAGAAGGTAGGAGGGACTGATGGTGGAGGAGGAGAGAGAGAGAGGGGGGGCAGAGAAGGACAAGAGAGAGAGAGAGAGAGAGAGAGAGAGAGAGAGAGAGAGAGAGAGAGAGAGAGAGAGAGAGAGAGAGAGAGAGAGAGAGAGAGAGAGAGAGAGAGAGAGAAAGAGAGCGAGAGAGAAAGAGCGAGAGAGAGAGAGAGAGAGAGAGAGAGAGAGAGAGGAAAAAAAGTTTATGGGCACCCTTAAGGCGACACGCGAGGTTGCTCGTTGAGTTCGTTGCCAAGGTAGTGCCTCGTGCTTGGAAATGCAAGATGTTTGTTGCTGTGACTCTCCTGCTTTGGTGTTTGTTTACTTTCCATACCATTTCCGTAACTGTTATTGTTTATGTGTTTTCTCTATTTTATCGTATATTTTTCTTTATTCTATGTATGTCTTTAGTTTCTGCTTCTTCTCTACCTGTTATTTTGAAGAAAAAAATGTGTCTAATGACTTTTTTTATTAGCACATGCACGCATGCATCAGCATAAATACACTCACCTACGACACACAGGTGGCTGAAACCCCCTCCCCCCTCTAGCAAAACCTAATGCTCACCCTCCCGCATTTCCCCCTTTCCCCTGTCCTCATGTCCTTCTAACTTGCTCCCCTCTCCCTCTCCCCTCTCCTCTCTCCTCCTCTCTCCCTCTCCTGTCCTGCGCCCCCTCACCCCTCTCCAGCGGTCCTGATTCCCCTCTCCTGCCCTGCTCCCCCCTTTCACCTTTTCCTCTTCCCCTCTCCTCTCCCCTCCTGCCCTGCTCCGCATATTTAGAGGCACTATTTATTAATACATTTTTATCTCCGTCGGCAGTGTGTAAACGATTCTCTTACGGCTGATTGGGGCTGGCGATACGGCGAGGGGGGATGGGGGGAGAGGGAGGAGAAGGAGGGGGAGAGGGAGGAGGAAGGAGGGGGAGAGGGAGGCAGAAGGAGGGGGAAGGAGGAGAAGGAGGGGAAGGGGGAGAGGGAGGAGGGGGAAGGGGAGAGGTAGGAGGGGAAGGGGAGAGGGAGGAGGGAAGGGGGAAGGGGGAAGGAAGGAGGAGGGGCGAAAGGGGGTAGGGGTCGCCTTGGAGGTCGCTCGGCTTCTTTACGACGATTTGTAATAGACGTAAAACATGGAAGTCGTCGGGGGCGTGGGTGCGGAGGAGGAGGAGACCAGGGTTGGGGAAGAGGCGCTGGTAGTCCTTAGAGCCAGGTTGCCGAAGGTCCAGAGTCGTGTGGCAGGTCCAGGGTGGTTGTGGGTATCCATGCTTAAGGGTAAAGAATAGGGAGAGGAGTTTATTTATTTTTTTTTTTGTGGGGGGGGGGTCGAGGTCACCCATTGGGAAGAACGGGGAGGACTGGTGTGGAACGAGCGCACGCAAGCACACGCGGTCTTTGGAAAGATATACACATGCTGATGCAGACTCGGGGGTACGCATACAGACACACATACTAATCTCGTATATACATAGGCCTATAGAGATTTCACACAAGCGCTCATTTTACTCTTACATAGGCCTATATTAACTTCGCGCGCGCGCGCACACACACACACACACACACACACACACACACACACACATACATACATACATACATACATACATACATACATACATACATACACACACACACACACACACACACACACACACATACACATACACATACACACACATACACATACACATACACATACACATACACATACACGCACGCACGCACACACACACAAACACACACAAACACACACGCGCAATTCCCTCTCTAGTGTTCGTTGACCTTGTTGCAGGTAAAGAGTGGAGGGAATTTCGGCGACAAAGTATATTGCAATTTACGACCTCCCTTCCCCCCCCCAAGCTTTTCTTTTATCATCTAAAGCGAAAGAAAAGGGGGCGGGAAGGAAGGAGGGGGAGAGGGAAGGAGGGAGGGACAGAAGGGGAGATAAGGGAGAAAGCAGGAGATAAGGAGAGAGGGGGCGATAGAGAGAGTGAAGGAAATCGGGAGAGAGGAGGTAGAGAGAGAGAAGTAGATAGGGAGAAAGAAGGAGAAGGGAATGAGATAGAAAAAAGAGAGGGATATGGAAATAGGGAGAGGAGAGGGGGGATGGAGAGGGAGGGAGAGAGATGGGGAAGAGAGGGGGATGGAAAAGGAGGGAGAGAGAAGATGGGGAAGAGAGGGTGAGGGAGGATATAAGAAAAGAGGGGAGGTAGTAAGAAAGAAAGGAAGAAGCTCACACTGACTGATACAGGAAGACGGAAATTCGAGAGAGAGAGAGAGAGAGACGAGAGGGAGAGAGAGAGAGAGAGAGAGAGAGGAGAGAGAGAGAGACGAGAGAGAGAGAGAGAGAGAGAGAGAGAGAGAGAGAGATCGAGAGAGAGAGATCAGGCGCGTGACCCTCCGCCCTCCGAGGAATGTGGGGAATGGGCTGCAAGATGGTTGAGGGGGATGAGTTAAAGTCTCGTTCTCGCTTGTGCTTGTACTTGTTCTCGTTCAAAGGAGTTGGGGGCGGGAGGGGGATTGTTGAGGGGGGAGGGGAGTGTATTTATTTCGATGTAATTTGTTGTGTCCATTCTGTCCGAGGTAAAGTTCGAGCGGGCGAGGTGCTTTGTTGTGACAGGACGGCGGCGCTGGGCAACAGTGGCGCTGGGAGTGGGGGAGGGGGGGCGGGGGAGGAGGAGCGGGTATGGGTGTATAGGTGGGGGGAGGGGAGGGAGGGGTTAGGAGGTGTGGACGCGCGCGCGAGCCTCTTCTTCACCTGTCTTCTGGAGATGGAAAGTAACGGCTCCTTCTCGTTCTCCAGAAGGAGCAACGGCCTGGGTGCTTATGTGCGTTTTCCCTTCGCTATGGGGTATGCGGGTATGCGAGTATGCTCTGATTGGCAGGGGTTAAGTCATAATACGATTTTGACGCATGCCTTCGAACAGCTAAGGTGCTGACTTGCATGTGAAGATCAAGGCGTCGAGCGATGGCCATGCGTTCTTTTGTGTACAAGGAAACTGGGAATAAAATACTCCTCTTTTGCCGCATTTCACCTTCATTTTCCTCAATACTTGCTAAGATTCCGAACCACCTCAGCCCGAGCGAATCAATGGGCAGGTAAACATCAGAGGAGTCCTCCGCTCTTGCAACACACGGGGTCAGCAGCAAGTGAATGCAGGCGTGCCACATGTCGGAGATCGCGACACGTGGCAACACCGCTTGTATGGGAGACCTCAGAGCGCGAGTCTTGGTTCATTGTCCGAGATGGACGCGTTGCCGGAAGGCGGCAGGAGAGGCGAATTTTAGTTTTTCGTCTCTGGAGAGCATTTATTTCTTGAGGGTCTGAGTCGCTGGTGGAGTGAGCCGACTATGAGACTGTCTGCTCCAGGCAGTTAAAAGAACGGCATGCGATCGGTTTCTGAACGGAATCGCGCGAGCTTGGAATAACAAGGAGCTGCCATAACTGGAGACCCGAGATGTAGAGGGAGCGGTGGCGGGAATATCTAGGGTTTGGAGGGAAAGGTGGAGGAAGTAGAGAGATCAAGGACGCAGAGAGAGAGAGAGAGAGAGAGAGAGAGAGAGAGAGAGAGAGAGAGAGAGAGAGAGAGAGAGAGAGAGAGAGAGGGAGGAGAGGGGAGAGAGAGAGAGAGAGGCAGACAGATACGCAGAGAGGGAGGGAAGGAGATGGCCTCTGGGTCAGCGTGGCCGGAGAGGCCGCAGCCTCCTTGAGGTTCACAAAGCCAGAAACATCCGTCTCAGAGATGACGGCCGGAGGAAAGGCGGCTCCGAAGACAAGCCGCATTTAGGTTATGTGATGCGAGCAGACGTTTTTCCTTCGAGCATGTTGCTGGAGCTCCTCGGGTTTCTGCTGTTCGCTCCCATTCAATCTCATTGTGATCTATCTGTTCTTCTCCTCATTTCTCCGGTCTCTTCGTTGTTATAGTGGTATGTGAACTCTTTTATCGATTGTTATTTCAGTTATTATCTGCTTGTATCTTCCGTGTTTCTGCGCTCACCTGTGCTCGTGTATACCAACTGGTGTATACATGTACGTGTTTGTCTGCGCTGCGGCTATCGACGCCGTACTTCATCTCGACGCACATACCGACACCCTCTCCACACCCGGGAAAAGCGTGGGCCGACAAACGCGCCGACGCTTGCCCAAGAATGCAAGATTTTCCAGTTCGTGCGAACCGTCTCGGCTGAATAACGGGTCTTGGGTACTCTCGCGCCCGGTCTTATTGGAGGGCGGGTATGGCTGGGTATGGGGGCGGGGATGGGGCAGGGTATGGGGCG